TTAAGGAACATTTGGCAATAGGATTGTTATCGATTCATTTAAAAAATAATCAACAGATTAATCAATTTGCAAAATAATTATTAGTTGCAGCCCTAATTTTATCGTAACATTCTAAACACATTTCTTCCATAATACAGCACTGAATGGCACACTGTAAGAAAAGAAGAATATTCAAGAATTCAAAGCAACCCTATGCAGTAAGAATTTTGTGTTCTCTCAAGGATTTGCCACTTGATTGTTTCAAGTTTAAATTCATCGTTGTACCAACGGCTTTTAGTTTGTTTGGCTAATTCGCTCAACTCTAAATTCTTCATTTTGCCAACAGGAATTTGCTTACTGTCTTAATGGTGTTATTCACAAAAGTACATAAAACTAATTAACTACACAGTAAATATTTACTTTGGTCAATTATTTTTACTAGTCAAGCTATGTACATTATTTGATAAATTCATAATACTCGTTTCCATGTTTTTCTTATTTTATTAACTGTTATCAAATTGAAATTCCACAGTTTATAAAGGACAAAATCACAACATAGGTATGGCTAAATACCTACACAGTATAACATTTAACAGCCTAAAATAAGTTAACAGTGGAGTACTCAACTTTAACAAAAAAACAATCAGCCGAACAATATCAAACCTGTTTTAAAGAACTGATTTACTGTTTAAACTATTACACAAACTGCAAATACAGCCACAGTAGCCAAACTTATCTAGTTTACTGTTAAAGATGTCATATACTCAAGTGCAGATTGCCAGAGTTTAAAGCAACAGCTTGTTCTTCAGAGATCGCACACGCTGTGTGCAATCAGAGCCAATATCCATGAACAGGTTTTGAAATGTGTCAAAAGTGTACTTGAGAGTCTTTGGGTAGGAAATATTGAGAGCATAGAGAAGGCCAAAAAGATATGCCCGTGCAGTTGGATTTTGGTATGTATTTGCTGGGGTACATTTTGAAAAATAAACCTCAAATGTCTTTTTCTTTTTAATGTTAATTAAGTAAAAGAATGAGCAGTCTTGAAGAAGAAATTAAAAATGCAAATAGGATGATTGATTACTAATTTCATTTATGAGCCAAATAATGCATCCACATTCTTAAAATTAGAAAGCATTTCTGGAAATGCTTTTTCATTTTCAAATTTTAAATTTCAAATTGAAATTTGGTATGCATTTGCTGGGGTACATTTTGAAAAATAAATCTCAAATGTCTTTTTTTTTTCATTTTAATTAAGTAAAAGGATGAGCAGTGTTAAAGAAGAAAATGAAAATGCAAACAGGATTATTGATTACTAATTTCATTTATGAGTCAAACAATGCAGCCACGTTCTTAAAATGAAAAAGCATTTCTGAAAATGCTTTTTCATTTTAAATATGGTAAAAATTTGCTTCCATACAAACCTATTATTTAAGATTTTTAGGTGAAGCTCTACTTTTCTGCAATTTATGTATGTTGGTATATGTTTTTTATTATCTACACTTATAAACACAAGAGCAAAGAATGTGTACATTTCTGGAAAAAAACCTGATACTGCATTATTGTTAATAGGGAGGTTGCCTAGTGTTTCCCTTTCCAAGATGGCCGCCTCCTTAACGCTTCACTACACCCAGGCAGCCGCCTCTTGGGTATTTTGTACCTCCTGGTGTTCCGTAGTGGCGGTTAGAGACTGCAGGGATCAGACACCAAACATCTTCATCGGTTTTCAGGGATCTTCGTTTTCTCTCCGGGTTTGTTGAAACTTTTCTTACAAATTTCTTGAACATTTTGGGTAGCTTCCATGTTGTCGGAGACATATTTTTAGCTATTCGGAAACTTTAGACCTCCCGAAGTTATCCGAAGTTAGCTAGTTAGCATTACCCAGTAGTCGCTGGAGTTAGTTAGGTGTTAAGGATTCACTTAAAAACGCTTAGTCTAACGGTTTAACATCTGCAAACAGATGTTTGTTAACGTGGAGATTTTTGTTCATATTGTGTGTATTTTGGTGGGAAAGTTTAAAGTACTTCATTGTTGTTAAAGACTTACCTAGAGTCTAAAAAACTGCAAAATAACCGAATAAATCACCAGTCATACAGTGATTTACAAAACAAAAACACTACAAATAAAACATAGATTATTAGAACTTCACAAATTTAGAAGTTGTTTCAATTGAAATGGTCAAATAACAGATATATGTTATTATAAATCCCGTTTGGTCTCTGTATCTCAGCTGTTTAAATCTTTTATATTTCCTGATGTTTTATTTCCTCTTCATAATCTTTCTATTCCTCACATTTAAGCTGTTCTTCTTTCCTCATAAATCAGAAAGACTTTCTGGGCTGATTTTGTTCAAACTATACCTGTAAACAAACTTAATTGTTTTCAAAAGTACAATGAAAATGTGTGTGTGTATATATATATATATATATACATACATATATATATATATATATATATACATACATACATTTTTTTTTTTCATTTATGCATTTTATTTCCTAAATACCAACAATAAAAACCACTAGAATCAACAGTCTTCATTATGACATTTTAGATGACATTTTATTAGAGACACCGGCTCAACATGTACATTTAGTATGAAAACATACATTGAAACCACCAAGTCTGCATCCTTAGACATTGAAAGGTAAAAAACAAGAACACATCCATGTACACACCTCATAGAAAGTAGGGGGGAGTATTGACATGGGTGTTGTGATTAGTATTGCACCATTTTTTCGCCCCGATACCTGGCTGTGCAGTATCGGCCGATACCATCTGTTTAAAATTGATGTGTGTGTATATATGAAGAACTGCATACTACTGATGTAAAATAATTGCCATCATGGCTTTATCAAGCTGCTGCCTACCTTTGTTAAGCAGGTAAAAAAGACTAATACAAAGTGAATCCAGTAGAACTTTTTATTGCCTACCTGGGATGGCTGACAATAGTTGAATAAACTTTGCTCTCAAAATTATTGATCTATTATCTATTTGTTGGTACTTACCGATACCGATACCACTATTTTAGTGCTGGATCAGGGCCCCTCCCGATACTGGTATCGGTATCGGTGCAACACTAGTTGTGATAGGATACTTGTCACAATACGATATCACAATATTGCAATATCTTAATATATTGCAGCTATCAAAATTAAATGTATAGATAAAAAAGCAAATGCTCTATATATGTTCATCAGAAGATATTTGTAATTTAGTTATTTTGGTATCCATGTTGTTTGGGGTTTGATTCTGTCCAC